GGTTACCTGCAACCAGCACCCTGTGTGCAGCCACACCACCTTCACCGTGCCCATGGGCAGGACCCACCTACAGCTGCAGCAGGGTTGAGCTTTGTGGTTTAGTGGGAAATCTACAGCACAGTGTTGTGTGCGCAGTGCCCGGGCAGGGTTTCTAGAAGGGAGCGTGTTGTGTTATCCCACAGGAATGTCTCCTGGCGGCTTTTAGTTACAGTCACCTCCCTGCCGAAGGGCTGTCAGGGGCTGTGGGAGGCAGGAGGGCTCAGGGGAAATCCTCAACAGGGATGTTTGCAGGAGCTGATTGAGGACGGCTGAGTGGGCTGTTACACACCCAGCTTCATGTGTGCAACCTCTGCCTTGTCCCTGCTGCTTCTGCAGTGTCCCCAGGTGCCAGCCAAATCCAGGCACCCTTTGAGCTAAGCTTGATGCTGCTGAGAGATAATTCATAGAGGTTCCTGGGCAACCGGAAAGCCAGGACAGGAGCCCAGATGCCGGGGACTTAGACCAGGTCACTGGCTGTGGGGCGGCTGTGCCAGGGCTGCGATGGGGCCTGCTCCACTTGCTCCCAGCAAGCTGGCTCCTGCAGACAGCCCATCCCTGCTCCCGCGCTGCTTTCTGCCGCTCTGCTCTGAGAGCACAGGCTGAAGAGCTTCCACGTGCAGGCAGCAGGGCTGGCACCCAGGCTTGTGCTGGGGCTGAGTCACTGCGAGCACAACGGTGTCTGTGCTCATGGAAATGATCCTTCTGATCCTGCAGCGCCTGTTTGCAGCTGTGTTTTGTGTGGGGAGCTCTGTGAGCCGCTGCACCTTACCCTGGCCTGGCTGGGTGCGTGTGGTGCGGATGGGACGGGTGTTCCCTCCGGCTGGTCCAGCCCCTTCCCCTCCCGGATGCTGGTAGCGTCCAGACATGGGATAATTTGGCACAAATCAGGTCATCTCTGCATGGATCAGGGCTTCCCCCCTCCTTGGGAGACCCAGCCCTGTGCCCTCCTGTCCTCACCTTGGAGGCTCTGCCAATGCTGACTCAAGTCCATTTGTTGGTCCCTTGGCGTAGGGAGGGAATCACTTAGTCCCTGCTTCACTCAAGTTCATGTGTTTAGAGACTGGTCTCGTGTTGTCTCTGAGCAGAGGATGACTTGCCCCTCGTCTGCATGGCCAGGGACGGAGCAGTGGCGCCTTGTCCTGCAGCACCCACAGACACATGCTCATGAGCACACCAGCCCCTCGGGTGCCACTTCCTGCTGCTTTTCTCCCGCAGGGTGGTGTCGGGCTGGTCACCCAAAGCCTGAGCCCTTCCCTGCACAGAGAGCGGGTCCCGCACAGGAGGGTCAGTCCCATCTCCTGCTGCCACTTGCCTCCTTTCACCCCTCCACCAGCACTGGCCACAGGCAGGAGGTCTCTTTACCTTCAC